TAGCCTCGGCGGAGACCGTTGGAATGGATCATCGTTCCGATTTACGAGACCCAACCTAAGTGGTTTTTTATTTTAATTTCTGCTCTGGCACAGAAGTTTTCTCTCTCTTCACACTCCCCTCACTAACATGGCTTTGATTATGGCCATTTCCCCGGGTTCAGACTGCCCAGGTTCAGATTGCCCAGGCTCAGGCTGCCCGCATAGAGGCAAACTAACAAGAAACCAAAACCCCGAAAGACCCCAAAAAAAGACCTTAAAAAAGGGCATTAAAACACAGCCTTGAAAAATACCACATACAAAAAGACAAACCGACAAACTGATAACTAACAACTAACAAAACAAAAATTGTACAGTGAAGGCCGGAAATGGCGGTAACCATTGAAAGCTCTGACCTGTCAGTAATTTTCCCTCATTCTCTCCACTTCCCCTTTCATCCCTAACTGAACGGCTGTGATCTCTGGTAAGTACGCCATTCTTACTGTTTTTATACTCCGTTTGCTTTTTCTGGTTTCCCCTTTGTTATTTGGTTACTTTACTTTACATCATTATTCGTTTGTGGCCACGCACCCCTTCCGCAGTCCACCTCTGCGCCTCACCTGTAGTTCATTTGTTTCTGGATTTGGAGCGTCTATTATCTTGGCCCTTAATAGCCCAGTGACGTTCCCCTCCACTAACACTACCCCAGCTTACCGAGGCGTCTACCTCTCCCCCCATATCCTATCCCTCCTCCCCCCCTTTCCTGTTTGTGGCCTCAGGCTCCCACCACGTGACCACCCATCTCACTCCAACCTCTGCCTTCATCCCATCACCGGGACCCGGCCTCAGTCATCCGTTCGCAAAGCGGAATTTTAGTGAATCCAGCCTTATCGGTATGTACCTTGTTCCCACCCCTCCCTTGCCCATTCTATGTATATTTTATACACCGAATTGGTGGTTTTTCCTCCCCCCACCGTCCCTTTGTCCCGTGTCGCGACCGCTTGCGCGACTACCCCAAACACCTCACCGACGCGTCTATCTGACCCTCAAAAAATCATTGGTGGTTCAGTCTCGATGTCTTTCGATGATTGAGCCTATATTTATTATGCTGCACATCTTTGCGATGGCGCGTGGATCGTTCATATGCTAACTCCTTCCAGGTAGATGGGTTGGTAAAACCGCTCGACATGAATGCCTGGCTTGCCGACACCTCGAATATTCCTGGCCAGGATAATGGCGCCTTTCATCCTAACACAATAGACCCCTCAACCGCTTTTCTCCATGGCTCCCCGACCCAGGACCCATCCCAATTCCAGCGCATGTTCAATGGCATGTCGCGAAATGCCTCTCCGGGCTTCCACAACCCAAACCAGGTGATTCCATCAAAACGAACGCGACCGGAAGATGGCATGCCCATGTCGCCGAGGCCAGCACCGGGAGGCGTGACAGGGTCGCGATCTCAGACTCCTCAAGTGCCATATCCGGGGTATCAGGGTCCACCAAATGGCAACGCCCAATTCCAACAACATCCCAACCCTTACCAGCATCTACAGCAAGGTGCATCTCCCAACGTGACGCAGTCACCTATTATGCAAGACTTCGATCAGCAAAGCATTCGCATGGCGACGGCTTCCCCTAGCCCTTTCTCACCTGCCGGACCCCACGTTGGCACTCAGATGTCTCCGTCGCAGTCAGATAATGGAAACCGCGTACACACACCCCAGAACGGCAACTTTATGCAGGGACAGCAGTTCGGTGGTATGCCACAGGGGCCTGGAATGACCTCCGCAGCCGCTCAACCCTCAATGCAGGCGCAACAGTTTGGTGGCATGCCCCAAGTGCCAGCGGGATATCACCAAGCTCTGGCGAGTCAGCAACAGAGACTGCAAGCCATGCAGGCACAAAACCAGCCCCGGCAGATGAATCCCAACGCTGCAATGGCGGGACGGCCGGTTTCTGGGATGAATCCGATGGCCAATCCTCAACAAATGAGCGGGATGAGACAGATGGCACCGAATATGGCACAGAACATTCCGAAGCCCAGTAACCCAGAAGGATTCATGCGATCTCTCCAGAAATTTATGATGTCCCAAAACCTTCCGATTGACCCGAATCCTATGGTCAGCGGGCGTCCGATCAATCTCGTTCAACTTTATGCCTCCGTGATGAAGTTGGGAGGTTCGAAGAAGGTCACAGCGATGAATATGTGGCCAGTAGTCGCACAGCAGCTACAATTTCCGCAGATGCAGTTCCCCATGGCGGCCCAGGAACTTCAGAGTCACCATTCTAGAAATTTGGGCCCCTACGAACAAGCGTTCCTCAACTCGCAGCAAAAGCTTGCAGGCCAGATGCAGCCGCAAGGCGGTCTACCACGACAATCAAATGACGCATCAGGGATGCAATTCCAATCTCCCTCTGTGAAGCCAAGCCCAGGCTTTGATCAACAACAGCACATGACACAGTCCCCTCACAACAACACCCCAACCCATAATAACGGCCAAATGAACCCAGCCAATGGATTTGCTACACCGACACCACGAGGTCAAAGCAGGCCAGGTCAGGCTGGACACCGACCAAGTGTCTCTCGAAGCTCGCAACCACCTGGCCCACCGACAGAAGGTGCTGCCGGACCATTCCCGGTTCCCTCTCCTTCGCAATCTGGTAAGGGTGTTACACCAACCCCGGGGCAAACGGAAGCGAAGCCCGAGAAGTTCACCAAGCGACCTATTGAGGAGACCTTCAAACCTCTGGTTTTGAAAGGAGGCCGTATGCACGGTCCTATTGCTGTTGATGAAATGTACCAGATTGGCGATGACATCTCAAGACTTAAGCCAGACGTGCCAGGGTTTGGAGAATTAGGAATAGTCGATATCCACGCGCTGACCATGGGCCTCAAATCTGGGATGTATGCCGAAATTCGAGTTGCGCTGGACACCCTTACCACTCTTTCCGGTGAACCGTCTGTGCAGATCTCCCTGGAGAATTGTGACGATCTGGTAGAGAGCCTGATCGACTGCGCAGAGGAACAGGTCGACCTGCTAGCGCAACATACCCCAGAGGAGTCTGATACCATGTCTTTACGTTCATACGACGAAATCACCCGGGATTGTTATGCTGAAAACACATCACTGAAAGATGTTCCTGAATTCGGGAGCATCGAGTATGAGCTTGACCGGGCTGTGGATCGGCTTATCTGTATCACCACCATCCTGCGCAACTTCTCCTTCAGCGAGACGAATTTCCTGCCTCTCGGTATCCCTCCTGTTGCTCAATTGTTTGGCGATGTCTTCCGCTATATGGGGACTCGCAAGATGTTCCTGCGGTCGTCTCTTAACACCTTGGACTTTATGAAAGACGCAGTGATTTTGTTGAGCAACCTGGCTCATGTAGTTCAAATCCCTGGCAAAGAGGAAGCATTGAGTTTGTTGACTTTCCTTCTTGCCTTTGCACCTGGTTCTGGATCTACATCTGCCTCTGGAAAAGTGATGTTTACGGCGTTCAATTCTTCTGTTGATCGATACACTCCGGCTGCTGTTGATGGCCTCGCCAAAATGCTGGCCAGAGACGACCCGAACCGGACATATTTCAAGGCTATCTTTTCTGGAGATGGAACTGCACCTCCCCAGCCAGAGCTCTTAACACGTGCATTTGGCCTTGCCATTTCCTGCGTCCCTGACAAGAAGCCCATGTCTGTCGTGGATGCACGCAAGGTCTTCCTGATGCAAGGCCTTTTGTCAGCCGATGTACTCACCACTTTTGCCGATGGTTCCCTTGCCCAAGCATGGCTTGACTCGGTCGACGGATTTGCTGTGCATCTCCTGCGCCTTTCCTGCGCACTGTGCACTGAGCGTATCCCACAAATCAATATGCGACAAAGAGGCCAAGCCGAAGCCGACGCATATGCCTTCAGCTCGATCGTCAACCGGGGCCTAGGCGTCCTCCGCCGACTTGCCGAGAAGTCAAAGCAGGTGGACAACACGGCCCCTCTCCGGGTCCCATCAGGGATCCTCCCCAGGAAGGAAAGCCTGCTTGGCGCATTGTTGCTTCCCAATATTGATGGCGGTGTTGTTCGCCAGCTTCTCACATATGCTCGGTTAGCGGAGTAAGGATGTTGATGTTTGTATGATTCCTCCCTGCGACGGGCTGTTTCATCAATCATCCTTGGCACTTGTCTCACGTAGCATATACGACAATCTTGATTTCTCTCATGTCATTTGTACTCATGTCAATTGTCTGTCTCCCTATTTTCTCATTTGGGCGCTGGTGGACACGGGGGTTATTCCTTTTCTCTCTATTCTTTTCTTCTCTTGTGAGATAGCGTTCTGCTCTGTTTCAGTGTACAATGCTCAAAATACCCTCGGAAATCGAGAGATACTGCATGATGCCAAAGCTGCTCCCTTTACTTGGTAAACACAGTATCTTGTACATAATGCTGTATGCTCATTTCATATGGTCGTAGTCGGTTTGATATTGTACTTTTGCTCGGGACATTTGGGACGTAAGTATCGGACAGGGACGCATAATCCAGGTTCTGGGCCTGCTTGGACACAAAGCATTGCAGATTTCATTCAAGGAAAAGACCGAATTCCTAATAATATGGAGATGCATGATCATTCATATGAAGAAAAGGAACTAGCACCCATCGAATCGTCGAAAATGTACAGAGTAGGAGTGTTACAGTGAGAAAAGAGAAAGAGAAACAAAAAGCAGGTGCACGCCAGAAGACACGACCAGGCAGATAAGACACAAACACCAAAGGGAAAAGAAGAGAAAGAGACAACTCGCAACGAAATCAAAATCAAGGAAATAGATATTACCCATGAATATCAGGGATCACCAGGACCGTTTGCTTCTTCCATTCTCATCCCTTGTTTTCGATGTGCTTTGATTCTTGCTCTCTTCGATAACAATGCTCTGCCATACCCCTATTGAGGGGGTATGTTTAATGCTTTTGTGGTTTCATCCAGGACCATCAGAGATCATAGGGGGTCTCTTCCAGGGTCAGGTATTAGAGGAGAAAGCCCTTAGAATTTGCGTTCCTCGAGGAATTTCAGAATCTCAGGTTTGCGCCAACCCTGTATCAGAGTGTTAATTTCCACATTGACCGAATCCACCTTGAATCAAACATACCTTGACAACGATGTGACCAGTAAGACGGTTAATGGCAACATCGGGGTTAGGCTTGTGGCCATCGACAACACCCAGTGCGCAAGCCAGGTCGTTGCGGAGTTGATCCAGATCACCCTCTGTCTTCTGGATCTTGGTGAGCTTCTTCGTACCACCGGCCTTGGTGTCGGTATAGACAGGCAGCTTGTTGGAGGCGGAACGGCGAACGAAATAAGGGAGATTATCGAGCTTCAAAGGCGGGCTAGGGTTCTTGGAGGGTTTGACTGGGGTCGCGTGTGCCGACGGGGATTGTTCTTTCAGGGCTTGCGCTTGACGACGGAGTTGGGTGAGGAAAGTGCGGCTTTGGCAGGTAGGGAGAGAGGTCTTGAAGGCCGAGGATAGTGAGATTTGAGGGTGAGAATCTGAAATGAAGGGTTAGTATCGCGATTTTCCTGTAGAACCAGATTGTTCCCAGTTTTCTCTCTTGTTTGTTAGTTGCAAGATATTGCAAAACAGCGCGCATATGGGTTTAATTTTGCAGGGTCCAATGTACCAAGAGAGATCTGCTCAAATTCTGTTCAAATGTCACTTACGTGAAACCGACAACCTTGTCTGAGGACATAATGTGGAAAATGAACTACATGTCTGAACGGAAGCCACGGATTGTGCAGAGCTGACGCGAAGAGGGATGGCAGTGGCCTGCTTTCGCATGGCCGAAGTGGCCGGGCCCAAGTGTAGAAGAGACGCCATTGCACGTCTAGAGGACCAACCGGAGTGTATTAACCGGAGAGAATGATGATGGAGGACAGAGGCCGGGAAGAGCAGCAACATCTGATGCTCGGCGCTCTGCTCAGATTTTCTGCCACCGCTTTCCAGCACCCACTTCCCAAAAGGGTTTAGGGCCACCGACGCCCGCACAATCTGCAAATTCTCCATTGATCGCGGTTGGCCTTTGTTATCCCCTCTCTAGACCTTTCCCCCTTTCTGCCATCTTTACAGACACATCATGGCAGCCAACGTCCCTCCCTCCGCTGAGACCCTGCTCAGCGGCGCTGCTTCTCACCAACCTAAGACCGCCGAGGAGATCGCCTCTCAGCACGATTTGCTCCCCCGACTGATTCCGTACCTCGACCGTCACCTCGTTTTCCCCCTGCTCGAATTCAGCGCCGGCAGCGATGAGGAGGACAAGGAGATCACCCGGGCCAAATATGAGCTCCTCAAGCATACCAACATGACCGACTACGTTGCCAACCTTTGGCAAGAAATCAACAACTCCGATACCATTCCCGACGAGTTTGTGAAGAAGCGCGAGGAGGTTTTGGCCAAGCTACAGCATTACCAAGACCAGAGCGAGAAGATTTCCGAGTTGTTGCAAGATGAGGAGGTCGTGGGTAACCTGCGTAGCGACAAGGCCGCCAACTTGCGGTTCCTCGAAGAGCAGCACGGTGTCACAAACGAGATGGTCAACAGCCTCCACGACTACGGACGATTCCAGTACAGCTGCGGTAGCTATGGAAATGCCGCTGAGCTGCTTTACCAGTTCCGTGTCCTGTCCACCGACAACGACAAGGTCGCTTCCGCCACGTGGGGTAAGTTGGCGTCAGAAATCCTGACCACCAACTGGGAGGGTGCCATGGAGGAGGTTCAGAAGGTCAAGGACTCCATTGAGACTCGCCTGTTCAACAACCCTCTCGCTCAGCTCACCAACCGCTCGTGGCTCATCCACTGGTCGCTGTTCCCCTTCTTCAACCACGATCCTGCCCGCGACGTCCTCACCGACCTCTTCTTCTCCCCCGCCTACATCAACACCATCCAGACCAGCTGCCCTTGGGTTCTCCGTTACCTTGCCGCCGCTGTCATCACCAACCGCAGCCGTCCCCACAAGCACTCCGGTATCTACCAGAAGCAATTGAAGGATCTGATCCGCGTTGTGCGCCAGGAGGACTACGAGTACACCGACCCCATTACCGACTTCGTCAAGGCCCTTTACGTCGAGTTCGATTTCGAAGAGGCACAGAAGAAGCTCGGCGAGGCCGAGGAGGTTCTGCGCAGCGACTTCTTCCTTGTGTCGGCGGCGGATGCTTTCGTTGAGGCTGCCCGTCACCTCATCTCTGAGAGCTACTGCAAGATCCACCAACGGATTGATATCAAGTAAGTATAAGTATAGGGAATCTTTTTCTAGTGCAGAACACGAATTAACAGTTTTCTAGCGATCTGTCCGCTCGTCTCGGTCTGAACCAGGACGAGGGCGAGAAGTGGATTGTCAACCTGATCCGCGACACCCGGGTTGACGCCAAGATCGATTATAAGGAGGGCACTGTGATTATGAACCACCCTCCCCAGTCTGTCTACCAGCAAGTCATTGAGAAGACAAAGGGTGCCTTCTTCCGCACACAAGTCTTGAGGTATGCATTTCTCCCGGAAAATCAGCATTGACCATTGCTAACCCTCTTTCTAGCTCTGCTGTTGCAAAATAAATTCCCGCATGACCTGATGCCGAAAACTGAACTTTTCTCCGTTATGTGATTTTGAAACCTGTTTCTGCCTACCCATTTTTAGTGATCTCCCCGTGTAGGTCACAACACGGTTGTTTGAGGGATGGGACTCCGTGCAGAGTGGCATCCGGCTGGCGTTCTTCGGTGGTCCACCTTATTTTCTTTACCTCTTTAGTCATCTTACAGTTCCTACAAAGCTCTCTCCCTCCCTATATTTTCACTTCTTTGTCGTCAGATGTTTTGCTTGACCTCTTTATGTATTGGCCATTTCTGACCCTGGAGGTTTGGAGGGAGGTGGAGAATCTCAAAAAGAAGCCACGAGAGATATGTGGCGCCCCTCTGTCCAATTGCTTGGAGGGGGAACGAAGATGAGAAGAGATTGAGATATGATGTAGACTCCTTGATTTTGGGGTCTGTTTCTATGTTGTTACGAATGGGCTATAGAGATGAAAGATGATGTCTCTGACAACCCCTTCCAAGGTTTCTAGTCGACCTTTCGTATTGTATGCTCGCAAAAGCACATGAATAGTTCCTATGTACGAATCAAAAGGATAGGCATTGACCGTTCTATACCCGTTAGGCGCTAACGTGCACGTCAGCCCCCCAAGTGGATCACCTGGGCTGAGCCTCATACTCAGCCACTGCTTCTAGTACTGACTCCCCTTCAAAGGATTCAACTTCTTTCCTATATGGACCTGAGCACATGAACCGCTCCCTTTCTGGCCGTCACAAAATGAGCCAATTGACACTTGCTTCACGACTCAAGCCTGAAACTCGACTGGCGCAAGCAGTGTCGCTCTATGAAGCTGACCTTTCTGCCGACCAAAAGGCGAGGCTTCGGGCAGACAAGTCTCGACTACGAGATGCGCCTCCTAGTATCAGAGATGTTATGCGGCTCACTGCTGAGATAGACCAGGCCGCATCTGGGAAAACGCGCTGTTTGGGACCACGCATGGTTAATGTGCTGCAATCCGTTCAGCAGTTTGCTGCCCTTGGGGACATCATTATAGGCGGTTCGCAGAACCTCGTTGCTTGTGGAGTCTGGACATTGGTTCGGACGTCTCTGCTGGTCAGTATTTTCATAGCAAAGGCATCTCTGGTTTTATCTTGCCTCTCGGATAGCTGATGCATCCACAGTTAATCTCAAACCACTCTTCATATCTTGAAAGATTGTCGACTGTTTTCATGGAAGTCGGTCGCTTGGCTCCCCGCCACGAGAGAATGGCTCTGCTATATCCTCGTTCCGAGGATCTGCAGTCATGCATGTGTGAATATTTCATTGTGGTTGTCAATCTGTGCCATAAACTCTTGAAATTTACCCAAAAGTCGAGTCTCGGGCAGTTCAAAGCATCTGTTGCCGACGGTGACTTGAAATCATCCCAATCTAATCTCGAGCTTTGGGCCACGAGGATCAGAGACGAAGTGCAAATGCTGATGGCCGAGACAATTACAGCTGTAAAGAACTCAAACTTCAGAAAATTTTCGAAAACGCTCTCCAAATCCGGTTCCTACAAGCGCCAACTCAACATGCATCTAAAAATGCTTGATTTTTGTTCCATGTACGATCACACAGTGACTTGGAAACAGAACCGAAAAGCCGGGACGACACGGCTGTTTTGTGAGAGTGCCGAGTACAAGGACTGGAAGGATCAATCCGGCTCTGTGACTCTTATTTATACGGCCAGCCTTGGATCTGGCAAATCAGTCTTACTGGCTAACCTCGTGGATGATCTCCATCTTCATGTTCAAGACAGCAACGTCCCAGTGGTCTACTTTTTTTGCCGATATGATATCACCGAGAGTCTTCAGGCCCGAACAATCATTGGTTCTATTGCTCGGCAGTTGTTAGGACGCATGCAGTCCCAATTCCTGAACTCCGATCTTGCGATGCGAGATTTCCTTGATAGAAATAAGCTTGGAGATTATGAGACTATATTTTTCTTACTGCAGCGTGTCTTGGCGTCTGATCTCAAAGCATACATTGTCATTGATGGAATTGACGAATGTGAATACTCCGAGAGACGGATATTGATGGAAGAACTCAAAAGACTTCAGGATACGTTCACGATACATCTCTGTATTTCTCTTCGACTCGAGCCCAACAATCCTTTGGAAGTCAATACAGATGGCTTGATGCATACCACAATCACTCCAATTCCTGACAATTCCTCCGAGATTGGAACGTTTATTCAAGCAGAACTGGAGAGCTGTGTAGAATCTCAAAGGCTCGTGGTTGGAGACCCGCATTTAATCTTGGAGATACGGGATACCCTCTCGCAGCGATCTCAGGGCATGTTTCTTTGGGTTGTGCTGCAAATTGAGACACTGTGCATGATGGATTCGGATCATGCCATCCGCCAAGCCTTGGAGGATCTCCCTAGTAACCTTCGGGAGACATTTTCTCGCATTCTACAGAGATCTGAGAGACCCGGAATACACACCCAACGAGCTGTACTGGAGCTGATCACCGCCGCCCACAGCCCGTTAACCACGGAACAAATCCGAGAAGCATTAAGCGTGGTTCCAGGCAATACAGTCTGGGATCCATCCAGACTCCCCAATGACATAAATGCTACGCTCGCATGTTGCGGGTGCCTCATAACACTGGATGAGGAGGAGCTCACTGTCCGGCTTGTGCACTCTAGCTTCAAGCAATTCCTGCTAGACGAGCCCGACTATGTCAACCTTGAGTCTGCACACGAACGTATGACAGGTATCATCATCACCTACCTGAGTTATGACATGTTCGGAACTCAGCTTTCAACGACAGTCATTCCTGAAATCAAAGCTGGATCAGTCCCCGCAACAATCGCAAAGACTGCTTTACCATCCTCGGGCAACATTCGGGACCTTGCACTGAGACTATTAAGGTCTAAGTGTGAGACCGAGTTTGATATTGGCAAAACACTCGCGCAGGCCACGCCAAGCCGTCATATCTCGAACCAGTCTCATTTGCGAAGCTATGCACAGTTGTATTGGTGTCCTCACCTTCTCCAATTCAAAGGGTTGAGTCGGAGATTAAGCCAGTTACTAATCAGTCTTCTGGAAGCGAACCGGCTGTCTCCGATTTCAGAAAGTATAAGGTCTTTTCCGAGTTACACTCTACTTTATGGATTCGCGGATTTCAGACTTGATCTCGGAATTTGGACAAACAGAGACCTTTGGAAACAGACCTCGGAACCCCCGATACTGCATCTTGCTGTTGTAAGCGGACATGATCTATTTGTTGAGGCGGTGATCAACCACGGCGGCTTCGATATCAATTATAGGGACCCTACTGAACAAACAGCCATTCTGCTGGCTGTCCTTACAAAAAACGTTAATATATTTGAGTCTCTTCTTGGTGTGGAATACATTGATGTGTCCGTCAAATCCTGGCTTGGATACACTCCGTTGCACATGGCGGTACTTGACTCGTCTGAAGACCTTCTGAAAATAATGATTGAGTCCAAAAAGTTCGATCTCAACGTTCAGGATGACGCGGGCAGAAGAACTGCCTTGCATATAGCCGTATTGCACTGCAAGGCTGACCTGGTTGAGCTACTTCTGGGGTCCGAGTCAATTGATACCGGCATCTTAGATGATACCGGACTAGGCCCCATTCACCACGCGGCAAGCTTTGAGCGATCATCGACCATCATGGGAATTCTCACTAGGTCTAGCAAAGTTGATGCCAACCTGAGAGATCGTGAAGGAAGGGCTGCAATTCATATTGCGGCGCTTAAAGAAGAGAAATTACAGTTTGACCCGGAGTATGCAAAGTCTAAACTCCCAGTACTTTTGAAGTCTACGCTCGCAGTACTTCTCGCCTCCGAGAGAACCGATGCCAATGCAAAAAATAACGATGGAATGACTGCACTCCATCTAACTATGGAGAATATACGAAGCATGTCAACTCTGCTCTTGTCCCCCAAAGTAGATGTCAATGCAAAGGACTCTGATGGAAGAACAGCCTTACACAAAGCTGTGGTGCAAGGAAAGACAGCTCACATATCACAGCTACTTTCTCGCGACGACTGTGATATAAACGCCAGAGACAATAAAGGGAGCACCGCGTTGCACCTTGCTACAGGTTATAAAACTGCAGCAGTGTTGTTGAACTCTGAGACGATTGACGTAAATGCAAAAGATGCAACTGGACGAACTGCTCTGCATATCGCATCCGCATCGTCATGCCTACCTATTGTCAAGCAGTTACTTGGGTTCAATGAAATTGACCTCAGCGCAGCACTCGATGGGGAGACAGCAATTCACTATGCTGCAACCCGGGTCGTGTTAGAACCTAAGGTACATAGGTTGGATGGCATGGTTTTCAGCAAAGGGCACCTGACATTTACTGAGCATGCACACGACACCTACGAGGTGTTTATGCGGCTATTCAGGTCGGAAAGGGTTGATACTGCCTTGAAAAACGATGCAGAGAGGATCTTAGCCAATGCGAACATCACGGTGGATTATCTAGAGGATTGCTTGTTGACAATGTCCCAAGATATCTCAAAAGTCCAAACCATCATTGGTGATACTTGGAAAGGTTGGGGTATCGGATAATTGCGACAGGCCTAAATACAGTCATAGACCACAAGTCTTTTCCGTCCTCTCATATCCTTACTTGCATATAAATAACTATAGTCCGAGGCACTGGAGAATGGGCAAAAAAGAGGTAAAAAAATAGAGGCCACAGTAGGGCCAGAAAAAAGCATGAAACGGTATACTCGCTTCGAGGCTTTTGTGTACTGTCCAATATTTCATCGGGGGTACTGTATACACACTCATGGCCCCTGTCGTACGACATTGTACAGTCTTTTCGCTATTTTGCAGAAGGGTATAAGAAGAAAAAGAGAGAGAAAAGACGCAAAGTGCATGAAAATGGAACAAAGATGACGATCCTATCAGCCCCAAAAGCTACGGCTACCTTCACAAAAACCGCTTCCATCCACGGAGCTTCCACTGGACCGGACCGCCTTGGCTTGATCCATGGAGTCCGGCGATTTCCAGAGGCTCAATGTCCAGGAAATGGCCAAGTTTCCCTGCCTCATGAATATGAATGAGGTTCCAAGGTGAAAAGAAAGAACAGAGTTGACCCGATAGATAATGTCGATCGACGACGGTAGGGCTGTCCTTCAAGGGAATCCTAAGGTTGGACCAGGGCTGGAAGTGGGATATCCTCTCCAATAGATGGTAGCGCACTCGGAAAGAAAATCAACGACCTCGCGAATCTTGATCACGTCTGCGTGGAGCAGGTGTGCTTATCGGGATAATCTCGTTGATAAAAGTCTCATGCGAGGTATGATAGGTTGATTTATCGGTGCCTGGACTGGAAGTTGCGGTGCCATTGTTATGGGCCATGCGAGCTGCCTCCTGTCTTTCGTACTCCCGGGACATTGTTGCGAGGTCGTCAATTTGTTCCTATAAAAAGCAGTCAGGATTTGATGTGCTGATGGACTTCAACTTTGCAATTGAAGTATATCGAAAAAGAAAGTCATGAAAGGAGAACAAACCCGCGTGAGAGGCACGCCGTTGATGAGATATCCTTCACGTCCCTTTATCACCAAAGATATATGATTAGGACAAGTTACCCGGAGTGGAGCAGAAGTATAACCTGGCATACCTGATAGCTATAGGGTCTGACTGACGCAGTCGGGCCCAAGAAGTAATGGATATGCCCTAAGACGATATGTCGGGACAGCCCGTACCCCGGAAGCCAGTACTGTTGGTCAGGGGACATTGTCAGAATCCAGAGGTGAGGCGACAAGGCAAGGCGAAGGAAATGTTAGGTCAGATGCCAGTCGACACCGACACAAACGGACCGTGCCTGGATACTCGCAGTGGGACTTTTGACATTCCCTGAAGGACAAGGCATGGAGTATAAATAGGGATGATACTCGAACAGATAAGCGATAAATGAGACAGCCCTCAGTTATAGGTGCGCTAATGGCCTGTCTGATTCTTCGGATATGATCTCACAGGAGGTCAACCCACAGAAAGGAGACCGCGTACTCCCTTCCCAGTGCATAATCCACATGGCAGGATGGAACCTCTTGACGAACCCGGGACAATAATCTCGGCAAGATGCAGAAAGATTAAACAGCGGAAGGAGAATGGCCCAGATTATCCACAGGGGAGAAGGGTTCATGTCGGAATATTCGGCTGACAAGAGAGCGCCTCACTTTCATCAAGCAACGAGACCCAACGCTTTTTCTGATGGTCGGTATTGAGCTTGGGACAGGAAGCCCGGGCGTTTCATCCACCTTCCCACCCATCTTTACTACCGAGGCCCCGGTCACGGTCAGAAGTGAGGCTTGCATGGCGAAGCATCGGTCTCGAATCAATCCAAGGGCAAACTACCCAGTTATTCACCGACCCTGGGGGATGTGCGTGTTTTCTCTCTCACCGCAGATTCTCAAACCTATGCGGCGCCAAATTGGCTCTGCGGTGATGTCGTGGCACCACGGATTGTCGTCTTCGATCGCGGGGCCACAATGCTGCAGTGAGGGCATCTGCATCTCTCGCTTTTGGGACAGGAATCCTTTTTCCTCTCCAATTGCCAAGAGACGGGTTTTTGGAAGAACCCTATATTGATCGCGTTCAGCCAAGACAGGTGCGTTGTACTCCGTAGCTCAAGGATGATATAATGGGGGAAGTTTACAGTTCTATGGTCATATCATATCCTCTACAATGATAGAATATCCTCACAAACATATCATGTCAATAATGCATGTATTATTCTCTAATCTTTTCATAATTCGTCCTACATAAGTGGAATGTATCTCGCATCCTTTACTGAGGAGGCACGTATGGGTTCACCAGCATCTCACTGAACCTGCAGGATAAGCGTTAGCTTGAAACATTCCTCGAGATCCGTTTGGGGTCAACTTACTTTTCCAACTTCTCCTTCCCGCGCACTTCCTCAACAAGCATCGGCATGCGGACTACATTGAAATCCTCATAGAGCTCTTCAATTTGCTCGAGGTACTTCTTCTGCATCTTTCTCCGGGCAGTGCATTGGTCGCAGTTGCTTCCCTCCTTGGGGAACAGCAGCTGGTTGACAACGATCGAGTGCGTGTCAATGTTGTAGCTGGTCAATTCCTGAATCATACGTTCCGTCTCGTAGAGCGACAAGAACTCCGCAATGCAGACACAAACAAAGGTGGTCATGTCCGGGTTCTTGAATTGCGTGTTGACTTCGCTGATAGTCTCACGCAATGACTCCATCTTCTGCAACAGCTCATCCATATTCTGGCCTCCGGGCAGACCGCCACGAGCGCCCAGAATCGAGTTCAGCATCGGGCCAAACTGAGAGGACAGCTGGGAAAGTTTCGCTAGCGCCTTCTCGAGCACGGTGGGGAATTGGAGGAAGCGGAGGGTGTGGCCGGTCGGAGCGGTGTCGAATACGATGCACTCGTATGAGAGCGACTTGACCTGCTTGAGGACTTCGGCAAAGGACATGGCCTCGTCAACACCGGGAATCTAGCGAGACCAAGTTAGCTCAACACGTAGTATGAATGGTGCGACGGGGCAATTTACGCTGAATGCCAGATCCTGCATCATGTTGCCCATGCCCAACCCCGCCATGGGGTCTTCGCCTTGGCCATCTCCAGTGGCAAGCAGGTCCTGGATGCTGCCATTGGGATCGATCTCCATCGCGCTGAGGTTCGAGAACCCATCGATCAGACGCGCTTCCTTTCCAAACTTTTGACCGAAAGCGTCGCTCAGGTTGTGTGCGGGATCGGTCGAGATCAGCAAGACAGACTTGCGCACCTTGGCCAACTGGATGGCCAGCGAGCACGAGGTGGTGGTCTTACCCACACCTCCCTTACCTCCGACGAAGATCCAACGGAGTGTGTTTTGGTTGAGGACCGACTGGAGCGTAGGCTCCATGTCGAGATCGTCGCCATGTACCACAGCGGAAGACATTGTTGGGGAGTTGAAGTGGGAAGTTCAAATGAAGTTGTGATTATTTGCCCCGCAAACCGTCGAACTTTCCGGAAGTCTGGCCTTTTGACACTTCCCCTTTCAACTATCCACAACTGCCAACTTCCTTGCAATTATTCACAAATATAGATCCCCTTTGAGGTTATTGTTCATGCTCGCGCAGCGTGTACTTTGCCCTCAAGTCGCCAAAACACCATTTGAATGCTGATTCAAGACTGAAACAAACACAACAGTGGAAATAAATACAGACTCGACCCATATTCAAACTAACACGAGGCGAAAAGAAGCTGAGAAGTTGCCGCACAAGTCGGGCGAGGCCAGTAGATAGCTGCATGGCACTCTCCGCACCCATCGGTATCCTCCGATGCGCACCAAATAGAAATATACTCCTCTCCCTCCTTTCCCCTTCTAACTCTTCCCAATACCCCAAACCCCTCTGAATGGACACCACCGAGTCTACTTCCAATATTGGTCGCATCACCAATCGCCTCGCACTCTACCAGCAACAAATCTCCCCATCCCCACATCCCCAATCCAAATCCACCTCCACCTCCACCTCCAACACCACCAAACAACCAACAATGGCAGCGCGCGATCCTATCACTTGCCATTGCCTCAACACACTGTCAGGAACACCAGCAGCAAACCTGCCAGTAACCCTGACCCTCCTCGACCCCTCCACCACCGCCAACCCTGCCACCTTCCGCGCAACAACAAACGCCGACGGCCGCGTGGCTAACTGGACGCCTGTAGGAACAGCATCGCAGTCCGTCCCCGCTGTCCTCGCTGCGCTGCCCGCCGCTGATAGCAAGACCAACTGGTCTGTGCGCTTTGATGTCGGCCCTTGGTATGAGGCTCAGGGTGTGGAGAGTTTCTGGCCCGAGGTTGAAGTCAAGTTTACTGTGAAGGGTCGTGGGCGTGAGGGTGAGGAGGGCTGGAAGCATTATCATGTTCCTGTTCTGCTGGGTCCTTGGAATTACTCTACTTATCGGGGCTCGTGAGGTGGAGATTGGGGGTTGTACATATAGCATGTCATCTGGAGCTGTGCGAAGCTTGGCTTTGAATTCCTGGAGATGATCAATTACAATGATATAAAGGATATAAGAGATAAGTTATATATTTTCAGCCTACGTGATCTGTATGGTATCAAGTCAACGTGGCAGAAAAGAGGTTATCCACAGCATGAAGGACTTGTGATTTGGACTTTTGACGACCTAGCTGCATCTCTCTTCCGTTGCGCTTCCGTGATGCATGACTGTCATCCAATATTGACGACGACCCTACTGCGAAGAGAGTGGAGGTTGACTTGATCGGTTCAATTCACGGTGTATGTCTAGTGGCGGCGTGTGATACTATACTGGTTCACTTCCTGTTTCTAAGATCTGGGAGACTTAAGATGGACTAAAGAATCAATGAACTAGTACAGCAAATTTGCAATGTCTCAAATCGCTTGAATTGTGTTGTTTAGCGTTAATCGAAAATCTGCTTTGGAAATGGACAGCCGGGGTGGGAGGGAAACAAGATTTGGCCAAAATAACCCAAAGGAACCTGGAAAATAATGACCGTCCTGTTTCTGGCGTTTCGAAGCTTTATCAGGCCAATAAGTTGCACACTCACAATTCGCAATTCAATAGCAATTTCAATTTATCGTTGTAATTGCATGGAGCTGATGATTCCCCAAGTCGGACTCTTGACTACACGCGAGTCAAGGTATCATTATTAGATCCGCTTGTAAAAAGAAAATAGGTGCCATTAGCAATGTTCCAAGATTTGGACAGATGCAAGTCACCAAGTCACCAGGTGTCTGAAAGGAGGTGATGAGGGTCTATCTGGAGTACTGTAAGGGGTCATTGCTAAAGCCATAAATAGACACGAGCGCGTGGGGCTAGGTTATGCCTCTCAGAAACCAACCGACTCCGAAAAAAGGCATATCATTTGTTGAAATTTTGAATGGAGAATACGATGAATGATGCTAGGAAACTCTTGCCAAGAACCAACGAGGTGGTTTAAGTCTGGTCTCTCCTTTATGAAGGAGAGATCCTATTTAATGTGAAGCATTTCCCCTGAACTATCCTATACATGGTAGGTTGAATGCTGATCATGAGCTTCATGCTTTGGCGAAGCGGGCATTTAATGCCTGGAGATGCCTAAGCAAGCCATGAATCTCAACACACCCCCTTAGTATTGAAGCTGCCATGTCTTCAAGAAAGGCATGAGACGTAGGAGGTAAATGCTCGACTCTCTCAGGGTGAATCAGGCTTTCAACGCCAATGCGTTGCGAAATGCTTCGAAAGCAGGTCTTACTAATGGCTTGGTGAGGCTATCAGCAATGTTAGAGACGCCGGCGACGTGAGAGAGTCGTATTTTGCCTTCTTCAACTCTCTCGCGGATCTAATGGTAATAAGTCTTAATGTGGCGGCTTCTCGAGTGATGCCTTAAGGTTTTAGCCATGGAAATCGCGGATTGGCTGTCGCTGTATAGGCGAATTGGTTCCGACGCTTTCACTGCCTATAGATCGACGAGCAAGCGATAAAGCTATACACCCTAGCTTCCTGCGTCTGAGAGAGCGTAATACTCTGCTTCGGCTAATAACTTCGTGATACAGGATTGCTGCTTCGAAGCCTAAGAAATTGGACCGCTAGCGAGGTAGAATACCTATCCTATACGGCTTCTTATAGTGTTAGGATCTGATATAAATAACGCGTCCACGCACCCCTAGAACCCGTATCCGTCCTCAAAACTAGTATTACCACTCGTTTTCGGCCGTCTATAGGTTATCGTAAGGTTGCTAGTTCGCTTAGCGTACTAGACGGCTTAGTAGACGGCGGAGAAGTGAGGATCGTAGGGTTTAAGGTTATGCTTCGTGAGCATCCTAAGCGCTAGGGAGAGATTAGAACGTAAGACCGTGCTAGCGTAAATTAGACTACCGGTGAGAGACTAGTAGGTCTTCACGTTTTCACGGTTTGCCGGTTCATCGGCTTTCCTAAGCTCGGTGCTAGGACTAAATAGGATAAAAGGTCTTAGAGAGGTTGCTAGGACGTTAGGAAACTTATCAATATAGGCTTTTTAGCCTATTTTCATAATTCCGGCTTCACGGTCACGTTGGATCTTTAGGCTAAGGTAGTGAGAGACTTCACCTAGGTCTAAAATAGACTATTGCTTAGCGATCGCTTCCTTGACTCTCTAAAGCGTTATTAGAGACGTCGATACGAGCAATATATTATCTACGTAGACGAAGATAATGGTAATTCTACCCCCTTGCTCGTGGCGTATATATAGATATAGATCAGAGGATAAGGTATTGAAGCCTTTGGAAAGGAGGAAGCTACTAAGGGTCTTATACCAATTGGCTGCTGACTAGCGTAAGCCGTATAGACTCTTACGAAGGCGATAGACATTACCGTGAGGTTCGACGCTATGAAAGTCGAGACCGTCGGGGTATTATATATACGTTTCCTCTTCCAAAATCGTATTGAGATAGGCCAAATTAACGTCTAAATGCGTCGAATATAGCTTCTTTAATATAATGACTATAAGGAGTACTCGGAGGGTCTCGTAGCGGCCGGTAGCGGCGTACGCATCCTTATAATCAATGCCTTCTCTCTAGGTATTACCTCGGGCCACCTAACGTGCTTTGAACTTAGTAGGTCTGCTATTAGTATCGGTCTTAAGCTTATAGACCTATCTACCCGAGAGGATCTTGGCCCCTAGTGGTGGAGATACTGGTTGCTATACTTAGAGAACCTCAAATTAAGCGATCTCTAACTTTATAGCTTGCTCCCACTATAGCTAGAACGGTGAAGCCTTAGCTTCCCGAAGAGAGGTTAGAGACTCGAGCTATTAAGCTAGCGTAGACTCGATATCTTAGATAGACGGAAGTGCTAGGAGAGAGCTCTCTATAGAGAGTATTGCAGCTTCCGTAAGAAGCACTATAGACTAGTCTTTATAGCGTTGAATCTCAGCTTTTTTAGCTCTTAAAGCCGTTGAAAATAGCTGAATTGGGTCTCTAGAATCGGCGTCGGAGACGTCCGATGCGTCTAAGACCTCGGATTGATCTGAATCCTCGTCTAATACGTAGAATTCGTCATTTTTGGGGTCGTCGGAGTCCTCTGGATCAGGGCCATGGAGGTTGACGGGCCCGGAAATAGCTGGAGAGGCTGGCTGGGTCTCTTGCTGGATGCTAGTAGGTGTTGTCGGGGTGTCAGGGTCATTATATAGATCCCAATCGGGTCCTTCATCAATGATTGCATCTCCCACGACATGCATTGTGCCTCCTTTCTTATTAGGAAATGGTCTATAGACGCGATATTGGGCGCCGCTATAGCCAGTGTATCCAGTGAGGTAGCCAAGCTCTGCTCTCAGAGCTAGGTGGCGTCCTTCTTCGCTTTGGTGAATAGCTTCACGTGGGAAGACTTTCTAGACCTTGCTACCAATGATACGTAGAAATGATAGGTCTGGCTTCCTACCGTAGCGAAGCTCGAAGGGTGTAATAGGAGGTCTTCCATACATCTTACGGCCATTATAAACCGTCATGTTTCTCACGATAATAACAGTTTTCATGACTTCAGCCCATAGGAAGGTAGGAAGCTTGCTATCGGCTAGAATGTATCGCATTCTCTCACCAACAGTACGCATAAGACGCTCAACCTTGCCATTTTGCTCATAGGCGTACGGGGCAATGAAATACCAGTGAATTCCTCTCATTTTGGCCCAATATTAAAGCTTTTGGAAGGTGAATTCTTTGCCATTATCGGTCTAAATAGCACCAATTTCATTCCTAGGTTGTGGATCTTCTCTAGGAGTGATAAGGTCCTTTATCTGATATTCCCGGTCCCTTTCGTACGTGCTAAAAAGCTCCTTGATGACTATCTTAGCTTCCGATTTGGTCCTAAGGAAGCGTATCTTGGCCTATCCATCGAAGTCATCGATCATAAGAAGCTAGTATCTAGCCCCCGTTTCAATGGCGGGTGTAAGCTTACCGCCGCCGCTAATGTCGATATAGATAAGGTCTCTAGCTCTCTTAGAACGATAGAGAATTGGCCGCCGGTTAGGTTTATAAGGTGCCCGTCCGATAGCATAGTCTCCGTAAGGCTATTGTAACGGAGTCCTCAGGAATCATGCACAGAGTCCTCAGGAATCATGCACAGAGTCCTCAGGAATCATGCACAGAGTCCTCAGGAATCATGCACAGATCTCTCGCACTGTCAGAGGATCAACATCATACAGGTGTCGACACGTCAGCGCTTCCTCACCGCAACGCTGATCTCCCATGTTAAATAGTGCACTCCAGGAGAACCCAGAGGTTCTCCAAGGATCAGTCTCTGTATTCCTCCAATATACTACTTGCTTCCCAGGCATCTTCGTCTTACCTAGTTGACAGGCTCTATCCTGCAAATACTAGAACCCCTTTCTTTACAATTCTGATCCTTCTTCTTCAACTACCTAAGATTGAAGATGCCTCCCAAAGCAACAATGACTACCCGATCGTCGGTCGCTCGGGGATCGCCAGCGAACCCACACCGAACCGACACCGAGTCCATTGTTCCTCCCGCCACTATCTACGACGGAAGTAGCAGCCCGGAGAACAATTCTCAGGACCGGACTTCCCAACTTAGCGAGCACCTCGCTGAGGTCGAACGCCTCGAAACCCTTCATGCGTTGCTTACCCGAAAGAAGGAACTCGAGGAAGCAATCGGCCAAATAACCGAGAAATCGTTGTCGGATCGCCATCGACGCTCTTCCTCTACATCATCTGATCGAGGACGAGCTTCCGGAGAAATCAAAATCGAAGTTGCAATTTTTAAAGCACACTACAGTATACAACAACGCCAAACCTGGCTCAATGACCTCCAAGACATGTTCGCAGGCGCACCCCGCAAATATGGATCGGACGAGAGAAAGATCCTTGGTGCCACCAACTGCATGAGTTCTGACTGTCGCGAAAGATGGCGACACTATGTCGAAGAGAAGGCGGAGCCCCAGCGAACCGCTTACAAAACGACATGGGAACTATTCGAGAAATGGACTCTTACGTTACTACACAATTCGGCCACACTACAAGCCGACATCGCTACCTCTTTACAAGAGGCCCGGCAAGGTCCGAATCAAAGTCCAAGCGATTTTAATTCCTACCTCCTCTCGCTCGAAAGACATTTCGAAGCACCGTCGGAGGATCAACGGGCACTTAACTTCTTCACTAAGTTACAGCTTCGCCTCCGATCACGTATCCAGAATGCTATGCTTCATTTGCCTAAAAATCGGGACGAGATGGTATCGACAGCGATGCACTATTGGAACCTCATTCAAACGGAGTCGGGAACAAAGGACTACCCTCCCCGCTCAACAAACAAAAGACATCACTCCCCTGACCAACAGGGATATCGAAAACGGACTAACTTCAACGGGCCATCCTCCAACTTTGGTCGGGGCCGAGGATGGAACCGTGGAAGCTTCCGAGGACGAGGTGGTGACCGAAACCCAAACACTAAACCATATTCAAACCGGCGTGAATTCGGCGCAAAGCCGCATGATCGCCAGCGAAACGATAATACAACTCCACAAAAACCATACAGCTGTTTCACCTGCGGGTCAACAGACCACTGGAAGGACCAGTGCCCCCAAAATTCGACTAAGGTTCAGTCGGCACCAGCGCATTCGGGAAAAGCCAGAGGGTCGGTGTAGAAGCCGGGACACCGACCCCTCAAGATAAAATTGGGACCACAAGCCGCCTATATATCCCAATTACCGTACGGGGCGACATCGAAACGCATGCGGATCTCGATAGCGGAGCCGAGGTTGACATCGTCAGTCATCAATTTGCTCAGCAATACGGACTCCGTCGCGCACCACTCACCGGCGTCATTATCTCAGCTATCAATCGAAGGTCAACACCTACTTATGGGGTGTGGATAGTCCCTATCACGGCGACCGACTCGCGGGGGACTACTCGCACCTTCGAAAGGCGTTGTCTAGCTATCGATCGAGACCCTCGCCTCGAAGGAAGCCCGGTTCTCCTATCTATGACAACGGTGCGAGATGAACACGTCGACTTTTCGCCACATAAACGCCAGTGGTGGTATGTCGCACCGTCATACTCGATAGCCACCCCATATCAATTTGTAAAGGAATGCCGGAACCACGCGTACGTGTATGCGGTGGTAAAGCTTCCTGAGGAAGTGTGGCTTCCAGGAGACAACCAAGAATACCCCGCCTCACGTGAGGAGGGTCTCCCTAGCGAATTACTAGCGTACCGCGACGTATTCGCTCCCGAAAATGCCAAGACCCTACCACCTCAGAAAGCAACAGACCATACTATCGAGCTAAAAGACGGCGAAACGCCGCCGTATGGCCCAATTTACCCTCTCTCTCAGACAGAACTTCGAGAGCTTCGGTCCTACCTAGATGAAAACCTTGACAATGGTCGGATCCGACCCTCGAAAAGTCCAGCAGGGGCCCCTATCCTATTTGTTCCAAAGAAGGATGGCAGTCTACGTCTCTGTGTAGACTATCGGGGATTAAATAAGGTCTCAGTCAAAAACCGGTATCCCCTTCCTCTCATCTCGGAGATCCTCGATCGACTCGCTGGCGCGCAGTTCTTTAGCAAAATTGATATACAAGATGCGTACTATCGGATCAGGATCCGTGAAGGAGAAGAGTGGAAAACAGCCTTTCGCACTCGCTATGGCCATTTCGAGTATACAGTCATGCCGTTTGGTCTTACGAATGCACCAGCCACTTTTCAGAATTATATTCACACGGCGTTAAGAGGGCTTCTCGATGTCGTTTGTGTGGCGTATCTCGATGATATCCTGATCTTCTCGCCGGACCGCGAGGCCCACACAGAGCATATTTGTCAAGTGCTACAGAGGTTACGACAGGCACAGCTATACGCGAAACCTGCAAAATGCACCTTCTACCAAGACCAGGTTGAATTCCTAGGATTCGTGGTGTCTAGGAATGGCATATCAATGGATAGACAGCGCGTCGACGCTATCGCTTCATGGGAAATCCCAAAAAGCTACCATGAAATCCAAGTATTCCTAGGATTCTGCAACTTTTATCGACGATTTATCCAAGGGTATAGCCTGATTGCATTACCTCTAACCTCCCTGCTTCGAGGAAGTAAGAATGGCAAGAAGCCTGGTAATGTCTTGCTCTCCGACGAAGAAACGCAAGCGTTTCACCGGCTTCTCAATGCATTCCAAGAAGCCCCAGTGCTCCAGCATTTTGATCCACAAAAACGGATCCGTATCGAATCTGATGCATCAAACCTTGGGATGGCTGGAATCCTCTCGCAGCCAGACGCTAGCGGGACATGGCACCCCGTAGCGTACTGGTCAAAGAAATTTATTGGCGCGGAGCTCCGTTATGCGACGCCAGATCAAGAGCTTTTCGCTATCGTTTATTCGTTTAAACAATGGAGGCACTACCTAGAGGGTAGCAAGTATCCCGTCGAGGTGCTTTCAGACCATGCTAATCTCCAGACATTTATGAAGCAGCCTAAGCTTAACGGCAGACAGGCAAGGTGGCTTATGTTTTTAACTCCGTTCGAGTTCACTATAAAGCATCGCGCTGGGAAGACCAATCCCGCGGATGGCTTATCAAGGAAACCAAATGCCAGTCGGGTTGCGCCCGCAGCTGAACTTACGACCCCGATCCAAGAGCGCTTCGCTAGCGATCAGGGGGTGAATGTACAGCAAATTGCTGTCAAAGAAATGAATACCGGTCAGGATGTGCCTGCAACCAAGGCCAGCCAGGATGTGCCTACGACTGAGCTTAGCGAGCCCGGGACGCCGGAGCTTAGCAAGAAGAGAGATAGCCGTCGAGCATCTCTGCACCGTCGAGTGCTGATACGCCGTCGAGCGTCTATTAAGGGAGAGAAACGCCGTCGAGCTTCTCTGTACCATCGAGTACCTCTGCGCTACCCAGCGTACCGCCGTCGTGCGTCCCGTGAAAAAGTCGTTAGTCACCGCTGCATGGTTTTGCCCCTAGTCTTAGAAGAAGACGCCATGACAGTTCGCACCGCTGAGGGAGATCGTGCGATCACCCAGCGGGAGGTTGAGCGCGCCTGTGTGGTTGAACAAGTCTACGGGCTAGACGCCACGACAGAATTGAAGACCTTAATTGGGCGAATACAGGGTGAGGACCCTGAGGCAAGGCGTCGAATCGTCGGAGTCTCAGAGGCAAGGCGTGGAAACGTCGGAGTCTCACAAGCCAAGCGTGGGACCACGGGTTGGTCAGTTCAGGAATTGAACTCCACGACTGATTTAAAGTCCCAGATCGGACAGGAACAGGGCGGAGACCCAGAGACCCGCCGTCGTATCACCGACGTTAAGCTAGAAAAGCGCGGGAACCATGGATGGCTAGTCGACCATGAAGGCCTCCTTAGATACCAAAATAGGTTGTACATCCCCATAAGAAATGGCCTACGTCAGAAACTGCTAAATATCTACCATGATGATCCACTCGCAGGACATTTCGGTCGAACTCGCACCACCGAGTTACTAAAACGCAAATTCCATTGGGTTAACTTGCAAAAGGACGTGGCCCAATACGTCAAAGAATGCGCAGTATGCCAAGGGGCAGCCACACCAAGGCATCGACCTTATGGCGAACTACAGTCGCTACCGATTCCCCAGCGACCCTTCAGCGATCTAGCAATGGACTTTATCACCCACTTGCCACAGACAATTTACAAGGACAAC